TTAGCATAGTAGAGGGGTCCTGACCTCGGTCCGCATGAGAGAGAGAGAGAGAGAGAGAGAGAGAGAGAGAGAGAGAGAGAGAGAGAGAGAGAGAGAGAGTCTACAATGACACATGTCATGTTTCTAACAATCAACTTGGTTTTAGAAAATAAAAAATTAAAAACATAAGTAATATTAAAAATATGGATTAATTGGGGTTTTAGTACATTTTTGAAACATAATTGTAGAAGTAGTACATTTACTATTTATTATTAGCAAACTAATACATTTTTACTATTTGGAAACTATTTAGACACTATTAAAAAACTCCTTAAATCTAATAACTATAAGTCTAAAAGTATTCATCAAAATATATTTGTTTTCTATAAAATTTCAGTTAAACAAAAATCTGTATTTTTTTCTCTATAATTTGATATGCATTTTTTAAAAAATAATTTCATATATTTTTCAAACAAATTTTGATACGTCCAGTTAACCTTATGTACAGTTGTGTGTCGATGTACGGAAAATCATCCGTACAGCGGTCTATATATACGTATAATTGTATGTGTACATATATATTCTGGTCTATATATGTATATTTGTTTATGTGTAAATATGTTTATATGTAGTTGTTTCTCTTTGTGCAAATATTTGATGTATAATAATATGTTACTGTACAGTTGTCTGTTTGTACAGATATCTGAAATAGTAAAATTGTACTATTTTGCTAATTGTGAATAGTAAATATACTATCTTTATAATTATGTTTTAAAAACGTAATAGTTTGCCAACACACCCTAAAAATATTGATATTTTATTGATTAGATATTCAAAAGAGTTTCTCCATTTTCGAAGATGCTCTTACACATCTAGTTTTATCTTTACAGAGTCTATGCATGGCACATCTTCTAAACAACAAAATGGTTCGTTCCTTTGAGAAGCTAAGAGAAGAAGAGATAAAAGTATTGACAAAGAAGCTAGAAGAGGCATGTTCATCTTCGTCACCAGTATATCTAAGGAAACTGCTTTTGACTCTTACCAGCGATATCATATGCAGAATCACCTTTGGAAGAAAATACAACGGTGAGGAAGGTGGAACTGATATCAAGAACTTACTAGTGACATTCAATGAGTTCTATGGCAAATTTTTTTTCGGAGATTATTTCCCCAGTTTGGCATGGATAGATAAGATCAGCGGTGTAGAAGATAAAATGAAAGACGTAAACAACAAGTTAAATGGTTTTTTAGACAGCATTGTGCAAGAACATGTTCATGCCAACCACCAAGAGCCATCAGATTTTGTTGATATGTTGCTATCGATTCAAAAAGATCAAACCAAACGGTTTGATCTTGAGAGAGGCGACATAATACTCATCCTCAAGGTAACACACAAAGCCATTTCTTTCGTTTTAAATAAGTTAAGTTTTGGTAAAGCAAACATTTTCATATAGAATTACATATTTTTTTCTACCAAAGTGTATAAATTAGTTAGTTTCTATTGAAAGCTAGATTTGATTTGGATTAAAGTTATGAGTTATGAGTTATGACATAGGTTACAAAACCTCGTTAAAATTTAGACGATGTCCTAATTCTGGTACCTTTGGTCTTTTAGGATATGTTTTTCGCGGGAGCATCAACAACTGCAACACTACTAGAATGGACAATGACAGAACTTATGAGGCATCCAGAGTGTATGAAAAAACTTCGAGATGAGATTAGCTCAGTTTCGGCTCATAATTCATATGTAACAGAGAAAGAAGTTGAGAAAATGGACTATTTACACTGTGTGATCAAGGAGGGACTACGGTTGCATCCCTCTGGTCTATTACTCTCAAGAATATCTACTGAAGATATCCAATTAAATGGATATGATATTGCTGCAGGGACACAGGTAAATATACTTTAAATCCAACAAGTTTTAATTAATATATATATATGTAATGTAGCAACATACTTGACTTGGAACATAGGTAGTAGTCAATGTTTGGTCAATTCAACGAAACCTAGCTATATGGGGACATGATGCAGAAGAATATAAACCGGAGAGGCATTTTGGTTCGAATATTGATTTTATCGGTAGCGATCCAAAGTTCATTCCATTTGGAGCAGGGAGAAGAGTTTGTCCTGGAATGGGTTTTGCTATGGTCTTGTCCAAATTAACACTAGCTAACCTCGTGAAACGGTTCAACTGGAAAGTTATGGTCGGACCAGGGGGAGATGATCATAAGCACGATCTAGCTGAAGCGTCTGGTGTCGATGTTTGCCGCAAGTTTCCTCTCATTGTAGTTCCATCACTTGTGCACGCATGAAGGTATTAATCCTCCTTGATGATAAGATACATCCCTATAATTTAATGTGTTCAGTTCACTAGCTTGTCGCCTGATGATGCTTTGCTTTTATGTTCCCTTAATAACGTACTTTCATATTTGTGGTATGCGTACTTCTTAAGTAAAGTTGTACATTGTGTTCGGTTTATGAATGCAAAATTCAAAATAATAATTATGTAGTAATTTATTAATTTAGTTTATTATGATGAATTCATAAGAAAAAAAGTTCAACACCTATAAATCACAATTAGTTTCCTTTTGCTTCAATATTTTGGTATATTCTTTATGAAGAAATCATAATTTTTGTATGTTTTTAGTTTTTGCTTCGGTTTCAAATATTTTGGCAGTCTATTTGATTTTTTGTATGTTTTGTATGAACAGAGCATCTAAATGGCAATAATTCTTTTGCATTATTTGCAAGAGATATACCGGCCTTTGCGTGAGCAGATCCTAGAAAAAGTGAACAGCCTCATCCTTAATTTATTTATGGTGGTAGATTACTCTTGATCAAATGAGTTTGAATCATAAGTAGTGTTGCCACTCGGAAATCTGAAAAATTCGTAGCATTGCTTTTCAATGGGAATTGATGATTAGGATGTTAATTAGGTGGTTAGGTAGGTTTGAAATTAATGCATTTTAGTCTTGTGATTATGGATGTGAGTCCTTCTTAACCAATCGTATGATTAGTACCATATAATCGAACTAGTTTAGAATAGTTAAGACTAAACGAATACGATTTCTATTTGTAGAACATCTTAAATTTGATTAGTACACATGAATCAATCATCTATAACCCTAAACTCGCTTATTAATCTATCTCTTGAGACCGTTTTGTTGATATCCCCGCTTTATTTACTTTTGAACCTTATTAGTTTTTTAAGTTCATTTTGATAAAAACCAAAATCAATCTTGGCTACCTTAGAATGAGTGATAACATATTTGTATAACTAGCTTAAAGGTCTCCAAAAAAGGTTGAAAATTTGGCGATAGCATCTTTGGCAGCGCAGTTACGAGCAGTTTCTTTTTTGATAAGGTGTTCTCCACGCCCAACCAATTTATCCTTAACAAAGAAACTATACGCTTTATTTTCTTTCCAAGTATCTTTGGCCTTCAGTTTCAAGTTCCTCTTCTGACACATCTCATAGAGTTCTGTCACTGGATGGGTCTCCAACTTGTCCAAAGGTATTATCGGTTCCAGCAATGGTTTTATCACCTATATATTGATTTTTAATTAGTTTCAATTCCAAAGATGTGTATATATGGTTACCTAATTCGAATATTTAATTGGTTAACCTAATTCTAGTAGCTAGCTAGTTATCTTATTAACTACCACATAATGTGTGTATATATATGTTACCTTCCAGACGGTTTCAATAGATTTACAGTCCATGAAAAGAGCTCCTATGGTAGATTCTACAATGTTTGCTAGAGATTTAGGAACTTTCACAAGGCCACGTGAGTGTAATGTTGGATTTTTCTCTATCGCTTCCACAAATTCTTGTATCTGCGTAGATCAAAATTGATAACAACACATAGCCAATAAGAACAAACTGTAAACTATATATATAATAACTAAAAGAAGTAGAAGAAACACAAATACATATATAAGACTATTTGTCTTGACTTCACCATTAATTAGAATTTTTTTTTTGTCAACATCAAACTAGAAATTAATTAGAATGATGTGAGCTTGGACCGCTTCTATTAAACAAATTATGACTAAAAATGAACGAAGATAATACATGGTAAATTTAGAAGATTTTACTAATTAAGGCTTTTGAAGATGATTATATGACTAGGGTTTTAAGGAAAAAAGGAACTTACTTGGTTATCAAGGAAGGGTTTCTTATGACGGAGGAAGCGATAAAGATTGTGTTTTACGGCGACTCGAGCCAATTTCTCGGTGTCAACGTTGACGGCTCGGAGATTGGTCATCGAACCAGGTGACTCTTTAGGGTAAGAATAAAAAATATCAATCGTTATAACCATATCTAAGATTGTATCTCCGAAAAATTCAAGGCGTTCATTCGAAAAATCTTCGCCGTAACTAGTGTCGGTGAAAGCTTCTAACAACAAAGACTTGTCTTTGAACTCGTAATTTAAGATCTTCTCCACCATCTCCAAAGGCTGGTCCGGATCGGTTGAGGTAATTAGGGGTCCTGATCCTGATCCTGATCCGTTGGTTTTGTCTTTATCTTCTAAGCTGATCAAAGTCAACTCGTGTGGCAGTAATGATTCAGCGTCGGCGTTTGAGATTTGCGATGATGCCATAGGGACAAGAGATAAGGAAGGAGAAGGATATGTCTCTTTCCAAGTTTGGTTTGCGTTTTGTCTCTTGTTCTCTTCTTAGTCTCTGGTTATGATATTATTTTATATACACGTCTTCTTTGCTATATTATTTTATATACACGTCTCTAGTTGCAATTTATTTTAATTATTAAATATAGTAGATTCTCATTAATTAAAAAAGTTATTATTATGATTGTTTAGACTTTAATATATGCCATTATCACAACAGATTTTGATAAATTGATTACATATATATATATATATATATATATATATCATATATTTTCTTTGTATGAAATTAATAATGATTAAATACCGTTTTTAGCCAACATTAATTTTTAAAATCCAATTTTATATTTGCAATGAAGCTTATTAATTAAGTAGAGAGAATAAATTGCCAAGTTTGATCTCATAAATAGTATAATATACTACATTCGTGTCATAATATAAGATGTTCCAGATAAATTATTATGGTTTATGTTATAAAAAATGTTTACAAGTTTCTATGTAAACTATATATTAATTTAAATTTTTATGATTATATAGTTTTATAAGATTAATGGGCTTGGGTTGTTGAGTGAGTCTTTGTGACAATGAAACCCCCCTTTTTGTTTTTTTCTAGGAAAGTAAATATTATTGACGAAAGTTACACTGAAATATAAGACCTAGAGATATGATCATATGAACCTTGCCACAGAAAAAACAAGGAAACATTTGATTAATTACACATTCTCAAGAAAAGAAAGATATAGATCCATTAGATGAGCCAGAGAGTCATAAGATATCTGAACTTCTCTAACTTGTTCATATATAGCTGATATGGAGTACTAGTACTAGTTGATGATCAGCTGGTCAAATGTCAACGCCCCTGAACATGGTGAACACTGGAATTGTAATTTGATTGTGAATGAGTTTGTTCCTTTGTCGCCAGATACTGTAGATCAGAGCATGAACTAGCAACAAACCAAGGGAGGCGAAGTAGAGTTCTTAACTTTAACCCAACTCATAAACGCTGACCCATGCAAAAACTATTGGTCCGTTGTCTTCACTGAACCAGCACAAAGAAAACAAACAGTTGATATTTGCATTCCCCAAGAAGCAAGCCTAGACCATCTAGATTTCTATATCCACATTAGAACTATATCAAATCAGGCCAACTTTTGAGAGTATCTCTTGGTCTGAGAACCTCCATATGACGTATCATCAAAATACCAAATATATAAGAATGATCTACGTATGAAGCACTTGGTAGTTGAATGGTGGACAAGCTATTCTCCAGCCTTCTCTAGTTCAAGCTGCAGAAACTCATGCATTTCGAGGAACTCTGAGACTGCTAAGACCACAAACCATAGACTATCCAACACTAAATCAACTCCATAGAGAGGCAGCAACTCAAGAAATTAACACACAACAGAACCAAGACTCTAAAAAGACCACGGCAATCCGAATTTTATAAACCGTTAATCGAGCTCCATACATAACTTAGGCAAGATCTTTGAAAAAAGAGGGAGGAGAAGACTCCTAAACGGATTCATCTTTTAATAACTTTGACTAGTCGGTCTCAAATGCTCAAAATTGTATTACATTTATAGCATGATGCAACATATGACCTAGAGAAGAGCTTTAAGTTCTGAATGTAGAAGAGCAAGAGGAGAAACAATTTCAGTTTGGCTTCTTGCTTATATATACGTAGTTACATACTTACAATACAAAACCTATATATAGTTACATACAGCCAATAAACCTATATGTGTGTTTTTGTAAATCCTACACACAAACACACAAACACGTAAGGAAATAAGTGAACAAAATTGAGTATATCCTAAACTCCAAAACTTACGCTGTAAATATAAGAGAGTAAAGAGTAGTTAGGCAACCAAACAAAAATATATGGTAAGTTAATTAGGTTATAAACAATGAAGATGAAGTATTTATGAAAACTAGTAAAAGAGTATCTTCAAATATTGGGGGGTACCTCGTACCTTGTTGCTATGTGTAAATGAAACCTCCAAAATTTTGATCATTTGGTATTCATATACTGTAGAACGTAAGATAATATATTTTAGTAAAAACTTATAACATAAACCAGAAAATGTTTTGTATTTTCTGACTGCTAAATTATATACAAGTCCGTATAATTAAAACTCCAAATTGAAAGTTAACTAAGAGATATGTTCATGTAGCTAGAAAACAAGTAACAGGGATAAAATCAACTCTTAAAATGAGAATATAAAAAAAAAAATCTTGTCCTAGTGACCCAAAATTCCTTTTTACATGTTCTCAAAAGTTATCATTTGATTACAACAACTCTTATATATATACCGTTATAGTTTTTCAGACTGATTTCGTCTTAGAGTCTTAATAAAAACAATATAGTTTTGTGTGCTTATAATACCATTAAATTTCGACAATTGCTAGGTTCATTCAAATTGAAGAAACAGAGTGTCTGAAGGTCCAACATAGCAGATCCTGAATGACGTTCAGAAGAATCTGAAGAAGCATTATGCCAGCGTGGCAGTGGGTGACAGCACAACACTTTTATCATAATGAAGAGGAGCAGGTTCGGCGCCCAGTGGTGGTATTAAAGTCAAAGTGTTGAAGTGACAGCCAGTGCAGGAAAGCATGGAAAGGTGTCAGTTGGAAAAGGTAGTTGTTGTTGGCTACTGGGGAGCTAGCGAAGCCAATATCATGACAAGAAGCTGCGCAGTGTCCGCTGGATAAAGAGAGGAGCTGCGAGCTGGTTTGTTGCCTATATAAGAAGAGAGCTTTCTTCTTATTAGGGTTACCACTTTTGTAGAGTAAAAAAAGTGTGAGAGTTATTTGAGTTCAAGTCTGAGATTCGAGCTAAGGCTTGATTTGGGTTCTTTTGGTGAGTGAACAAAAGAGTGTGCATAGCTGTTGATGTGCTTGTAAGTTGGGTAGATTAGGAATCGATCAGGGCCAAATCACAGTGGGTGATGTTGGGTAAAGCTGATCAAACAAGCTTGTAAAAGAGTTGTTTGAAGATTTGCTAATAAAAACCAAGTTTGAAGAAATTTCTATATCTCTGTAGTACTTTCAAGGTTCTAGTTCTTACACAAATCACATTCATAAGAAAAATGAAAAGATTACTTTATTCAAATGGATTCGAATACAAAGACAATATTAGAGAAATTTAAAACTGATACAAAAGATAGATATGATCCCTAAAGGTCTCCGAAAACCTTAGAGAAATTCTCGACAGCATTTTGTGCAGCACGATAACGAGCAGTTTCCTTCTTGTTAAGATGTGCTCCACACCCAACAACCTTATCCTCAATCATGAACTTGTAAGTCTTATCTTCTTCCCAGGTGTCTACGGAACTCAGTTTCAGTTTCCTCTTCTGACACAACTCATTGAGTTCTGTCATTGGATGCTGCTCCAATTTGTCCAAAGGTATTATTGGTTCCATAATTGGTTTCATCACCTATATACATATATTTAGTTTCAACACCACACATGGATCTATTAATCAATAACCTAAATCTAGTAGCTAGATATATATCATAATAATGTATGTGTATAGTTAAGTTACCTCCCAGACGGTTTTGATGGACTCACAGTCCATGAAGATAGCTCCAGTGGTCGACTCTACTATGTTTGCTAGAGACTTAGGGACGTGCAAAAGACCATGCGAATGTATTGGATGCTCTTTTATTGCTTCCACAAATTCCTGTATCTGCTATATATGTATTAGTTTGATGTACATCTCATTCAATATTATAACTCACATATACGTTACACACAAATGAAATAACCAAAACATTCATATTTTTGGGTTTTAATCATTTCATCAACCAAATTGCAATAAGAAATGAACGACAAGAATAAATGGAAGTGTAGAAGATGAAACACTGTTAATTACTATAGGGATATTAAAGAAAGATAAATGATTAGGGTTTAAAGAAAATAACTTACTTCCTCCTTAAGCGTGGGTTTCTTGTGACGGAGGAAACGATAGATTTCGTGTTTGACAGCGACGCGAGCCAATTTGTCTGTGTCAACGTTGACGGCTCGGAGCTTGGTCAACGGACCAGATGATTCTTTAGGGTAGAGTTTAACAAACTCATAGATTACGACCAGATTTAGGACAGCATCTCCTAAAAGCTCTAGGAGATCGTACGAATTGTACTTTTTCTCAACGTAAGTAGAGTCTGTGAACGCTTTCTTCAACAAGTTCTTGTCTTTGAACACGTAGTTCAACATCTTCTCCAAGGGTTCACTCTCGAAAGGCTGGTCCTCCGGATCGGTTGATCCGTTGGCTTTGGTGTTGTTGTCATCATCACCGTTGGCTTTGGTGTTGCTTTCATCATCACCGTTGGCTTTGGTGTTGATGTCATCATCACCTTCGAGGTTGGTCAAATCCAACTGTGGCTCCGGGAAGGATTCAGCAACTGCTTCTGTGGGTTGCGGCGTCTCCATAGAGACAAGAGGGTGTTTGAGGATCGGAGAGAGAGAGAGAGAGAGATAGAGAGAGAGAGATGTCTTTCTCTAAGTTTCTTGTGTTTGTATGATTTGTCTCTTGTTGTTGTTCTTAAGTCTTCGAGTATGGCTCCATTTTATACAGGTCTTCTTTGACATATTAGTTAAGATTTCTTCAATTCAACAGTTGTCATTATTTCTATTAAGAGTAAGCTATTATGATTTTTTTCCAATATATTTTGATTGTTATACATAGTAGATTTTCTTTCATTTCTAAAATATTATGATTTTTAAGACATAAAGAAAGAATAGGTCAATATCACAATATATGCTGACTAATTGATTACATATATATCATATATTTTCTTTGTCTGTCACAAATATATTGATTCAATGCCTTTTTAGGTTATATTATTCTATTTTTAAAAACCAAAATTTATTTTTAAATCTAAATAAATTACTTGCAGAAAATGAGCTAAATTTTATTGTATCAAAAAGATATATATAATAACTAAACAATAATAATGATAGTCTAACTATTAACTAGAATTCAAAAATGTTCGAAGTTCCACTGCTTATATATACTTTGTCTGAACACCGATACCAATAAAAAAGTACGAAATATGCATAATAAAGATAATATGGTGATTTTGGGTATTATTATATATATTTTATAACTAAAAATTATTTCAATTTATACCATTAAAATATAAAATAAATGCATTTGGATTTATTTATAAATTTTTTAGGAATATGAAATACATAAAAAACGGTCATGTTTAGAAATTTATAAATTTCGTTCCACAAAAGGGAAAGAAAAAGAAGTTGACTTTGAATTTGTATGAATGAGTTGGCTTGGGTTGCTGAGTCGTCGGTGACAAAGAAATTGAACACCATTCATTGACTTAAAGAACAAAGAGTGATGGATTTTGTTAAATAAATGGTAATTAGGGTAAAAAAGCTCTTATAAAATGATGTTGTAAAATGTTAGTGGACCGGATTTAAGATAAAATTAGGCCCATTAAAACCAAAGTCTATCAAGAATTTAAAATCGGATCAGGTTATGGTGTCGAGTAGTAATGGATCCGATTGAGTCAACGCCGAAGTCAAAGGATAAAAGAGTAAAAGACTACTTGTTGGGTCGAGAGAGCTATTTCATTTGTTACATGCTCATTTTCTTGGTCACAGCTTTCTAACACAAGAGTAGTTCAAGTTCAATGCATAAAACACAATTCATTTCACAATACAATACGAATAATTGTTCAGTTGTCTCTCTCAAGAACTATTTCTATAAGCCATATTACATATTGTTTTTCCAACTCCTCTATATGAGCTGAGTAAGGTAAAAAAAAAGCTCAGGAAAAACAAACAATTGAATCCAGAAACCTGAAAAATTGTCATATAAAAAGTATTCACTGATGGTATTAGTATTACCCTTCTTGATCATCGCGCTTTATCTTCTCCCTTCAAGGACCTATCCTGATGCTTGAAATGTATTTGATACAACTCTGCTGGATCATTTAAAAGTATTGTCTCGATAATTAAGAGCAGAAAGTGTTCAACTACCCGAAGTTTTACCGGTTGTGAGAGTAACCGAAGATGAAAATCTGGGGACGAGCACTGCCTCGTTGCTTACGGATTTGGAAGCTGCCAAGTCTTCCAAAAGCTTCCACGTTGCTTCTCGTTTGGCTACGACCTCGGTTTCATTTGCTTCATCCTCTTGGAACTTTGCTAAGCATTCATCAAACAGAACTTGGTCTGTCTCTGCCAGTACCTTTCTCACATTTAAAGTCAGACTCTGAACTGCTTGGTTCCAATGGCCCCGTGTGTTTCTCTCCATAGCTGGGAAGACAATTGGCATTATCACTTTATGGTTTTGAGTAATCAGGTTTCTTATGTGATCGTTGTTCCATAGAAATAGAGCCCTTTCAGCCACCTGACAAAAGAAGCAACTTTGAATCTAACAACTCTTAGCAGTATTTTACACATTAAGAAAACCGAGAGTCGAACCTGAAAATGTGAACTGTTGAGGCATCGGGCGATTTGACGGAACAAAGGAACCATACACCGCTGAAACTCAGCTGCTTGAGTTGCTTCTAAAACCTCTTCCAACTCCCCAAGAAACATAACTTCCTTTGAACTGTTAGTCACAGGCCAATACTTTAGAAGGCCTCTAATGACGGTATCAGCAAGCTTGAAATCTTTTTCTACAAACTGAACAATGCAATACGAAAGCTGTTGATGATAGGCAGCTGCACATTTAGGTCTGTGGAGTGGAATCAAGGCCCGGACAAGGAAGAGCTTATGCTCTTCTTTCAACGGCAATGCGAAACCATTAATTATACTTCCGAGAATCTCAAGCAACTCTGCAATACCGTTGTGCTTTTCGGTTTCGAAAATAAACCTGTAGAAGATATTGTTGATCGCCTTTCTGATAAAAGGTCGGTGCACCATGAATTTCCCGTATATTCGATGGAGAATGGTTTTTAGATATTCCCTCTCCCTTTGGTCTTCAGAGTCAAACAAATCCAAGAGCTTCAAGACAAACGAATGGTCGATATATCTCTTAGCAAGCTTCGCATCAGTCATGGGAGAGGCAACAAATCTGAGTAGAAGCTCATAAACAACTTGAAGATGAGGCCAAGCCGGCTCCAACGCAGGTTCCTCGTCATCCACATCAAGCGTTTCAAGGATTTTGCTCTCATGATTCACAGAAGGAAACGTCCTGAAAAGATTAACCACAGCAACCTTTGCAATCTCCTGCATCGCAGCATCACTCAACTTTGTAGAAACCGTTGCTATATAATCAACAAGCTCCAGCAAAGTCTGTCTCTTTATCTCTTTCTCTCTCAGATTCTTGGACGGATCACTAAAGTCGAACACAACGCAACACATGCTCAATTTCTTGATAAACAGATTAGGTTTCTCCAAGCTGGGCACATCCCTAAAGCTTGGCAAAGCTTCGTAAACCCCATTGACTTGATTGGTTCTGTTAGAGCTCGTAGAGGAAGGAGCAACAGTCCCATTTGCTCCATTTGATTTGGAGGAAGGCTTGGAGATGTTACTAGTACCCGAGTTAGGTACGTAATATGAATTAACCCCACCTTCTCCGTTTGGATTAGAGTCATTGTGAGATGATTTCGAAGGCTTTCTGGGCAATTTCCCAAAAATCTGCTTGATCATAATTGCAGAAACCCTAAAAAAAAGGGCTAAAAACCCCTACTTCGCCGCAAAAGAATGAGCTGAATACGTAACTTTTGCCGTGCAAAACCAGTAAAACCCCCAATAGCTTTGGTTCGAATTACAAAACCCTAATCATTGAACAGCCCTGCATGCATAGGAATACAAAAACCCAAATTCAAAATCGAAAACACAAACTCGGATGTAGAATGGTATATATAGACACATAAAGATCCAATAAAAATGAAAACTTTGGGAGAGTTACGAATTAGAGAAAGAGGAGGAAGAAGAAGAGCTTACAAATGGCGGATGAGTAGAGACAGAGATCTGGGGGCAGTGGAGGAGATGAATTGAAATAAAAAGAAACCCTAAGAAAATGGGAGCAAAGGAAGGATCTTTGTGATAAACCCCTGTTAAAAAGAAAACAGCTCCTTTTTGTTTTCTCGCCTCTCAAACTGAATCGAGCAAGAGAAAGAGAGAGAGAGAGAGAAAACACAGAGAAAGAGAGGTAAAGGCAACGAAGCCACAGCAAAGAGAAGAAAAATCTGGGAAGATACAGAACACAATACCAAGGTTAAGGTTGTAATGAAAAACAAAAATAGGAAAAAAAAAAAGAAAATTATTAATAATTGTCTTTTGTCTCCTTCGCTATCTCTTCCTCTGTAGATTTTCACTGTAAACTAAAATCTTTCACAATACCTCTGGCGTTCTTCGGATTCCGAATAACAGAGACATTATACAAATAAAAGAACTAAAATAAATAATAATTATTTTTTTTTGGACAGATGGGCAGGTAGGATAATTTACCTTTATGTCCCTGATTTAAGGGGAGCGTGTTTGCTTGTGATGTGTGTGGGAGTTTATGGAACAACTGGTCAATTTCGTAAATTCACGAGTCCATGTATACAAGTAATTCGCTTATTGGATAATTCTTTTCTGATTATTCTGTCTAAAAGATATGGTGGTTGAGTCGTTAGCAATGGGTATATATATTATAGAAGACAAATGAAATAAATAATTAAAACTGACTAATAAATCTGAAGAAAAGAGGTTTGATGAATCTAAAAATTATCCAAGGCCTTTGGAGCATTGACCAAATGGTTCAAGTCAGCTATCATAAGGTTCGAAAACCAATTAAAACCAACAGAGAGGGATGTTTAGTAAGTCTAGAATTTCTGGATGACGACTGAGTTAGCAATGCCGGCTTGCTCGATGGTTTGGTCCAAGTCTGTCAGTTGTTTAGGAGGGAACCCCATGGTTAGTAGCTGGTATTCTTTGGAGCCGCCGGGTCTTGAAGCGTCGATGAACCCACGCACGTCTCTGACAGTGTGGTGGTTATTGAACCTGGAGACGAGGCGTGTTCCGTCTGCTAATCTGAGCTGGATCGAGGTAGTTGGTGCTGCTGGATCTACTATTAGCCCTCTTGATGGTGCTGGTGCTGTGTTCATTGGGGCGGATGAGGTTTGTGGTTCTGCAGCAGCTGAACTTGATCCGGATCCACTTGCTCCTAGAGTTCTTCCTACACCTTGAAATGGAGTTTTGGGTTTTGGTTGTTCCTGTGAGTCAAGAGAGATTCAAATATCAAAAGAATTCTTGACAATATGGTTGCAAAATTCTACTATAGTGGCTTATTCAGAGAATATGCTAACTAGAAATATTTTTTAAAGGGAATGAGACTTACTGTGAAATTTTCTTCACGCCTGACAAGGTCGACATGAACACCGATCTTTCTATCTTCAGGTTCAAGTTCATGGGGGCACTCTGACTTTACGATGCTCTGCAAAAGACAACATATGTATTTAAGGATTAGAATGCATCAAAGTGAACTGTGACAAGTACCAGCTGCTCAATAACTAGGCATTAGAAAAAAAATTATATCAGAGAAATAATAATGATACCAGAAGAAGCCTATTTCAGTATTGCAGAAGAGGCGGGTCAAATTGAGTTCCATGGTACTGTATTATTAATCAGAGAAAGATTCAGATATTTACCTCCATAAAGTCTTTGTTTTCCGGGTCATTAAACACTCTCAACGGACCATCATTAACGGTGAAACCATTCAACCAGAAAGTGATGGTGTGCATAACCATCTGAGGCTGGTCTTGCTGTTGTTGCTGAGGAGTAGAGGAAACAGTTTCACCAGACAACAATCGTGCAGCTCCAGTGAAGCTCCTAGAAGCTGATCTTGATGATTCAACAGGTCTGTCTACAGCTACCTGCCTAGCTTGGTCAAATAGTGCATCAACATCTTTTGGCTTCTTAGGATCTTGCACCATCATCCCACTGAAACACATAGCACAAAGAAAACATTATCAACTACACAAATATATGCCTTCTCAAGATAAAAACAAGAATTCCAAGAAAGACTCAGAAACCACTGCAAACAAGATATGGTCATCCCTACATTATCATTCATCATAGACTTCATAGTGCCCTAATTCATTTCAAACCACATTGCATTTGTACAGTGCCCTAATTCACTATCTATTCTCGACAAGTATTCTCAACTAAGTATTTCTCAATTCATGATCAGATCTACTTTAAAACGAAACAATAAAGAACGAGTAAGAGACTTTACCTCTTCTCTCCACCAGTATAATACTCATTCGCCTCATCAGAATCACTGCCCTCACCATCAGCAGGAGAACGGTTCAGATCGGCGAACGTACGGATATTCCCAGCTTGTTGACGGCTCCTAGTACCTCTACTCCCAGAAGGATTCTCAGCTTCCTTACTCTCTCCAGCGCCGCCTCTCGATCGGAGACCGTAAGGAGCAGCGCGAGAAGACGGAGATGGTGATCGTGATCGCGAAGGAGAAGGAGAGGTTTCAGAAGGAGTGTAATCGGGGGAGTGAGATTGAGAAGGAGATTGTACAGCGGCAACCGAAGAAGTCGGTTGTGGTGGTCCGGTAGGGTTTGGTACGACGGCTGCGGCTGCAGCGGCATCGTTATCGAGGAAAGTTGAAACGGCAGAGTCAAGATCCCAACGGTGACTTTCGAGGAAGAAGGTAGCTTCTTCTCTTGATGATGAAGTAATCTCGACGAAGGAGTTGATCAGATTCTCGTTCATCTCCGTCGTCGCCATTAGCTTTCTGATTTTTTTTCTTTCTTCTATCTTCTACTATTTTTTTATTTATATATATCTTGAGAATATCTTCCTTTTCTCACCGTCAAACTTCTCTTTACATACGTTTCGAATACACGGCGTCTAATGGGCCTTAAAGCTTTGGGCCTTTTAATCTCTTTAATGTCTAATGGGCCTTCTCTTTACATAATAACAGTAGTGTAGACGACGGTAAGAGCAAAAGAGTGAAAGACGAGAAAGTGTCATTTTACAAGCTTCTCTCGTTTGCTGACAAAAATGTCATAGTTTTGATGATTGTTCGAATTTGGTATTACTAGGTATCATGCTTGGTTATTAAAGGTTCGATTCTCTGTTCAAATCTTTTAGAGAGTTTCGAATCTGCTTTGATTTTGGTTTTAGAGTGTTCGACGATTGAGTTATGATTCTGGGTTTTATAGTTTGGTTCCGGTTCGATTACGGTTTGATTTCGGTTCTATTATTGTTTGATTATGATTTCTCCTATTGTATCTTGTACTCTTATGTGTCCATTACAGGGATTTACGAATTACGACAAGAAAAGACCAAGAAGAAGCTGAGATCAGAGAAGAACAAATCGAGCTACATTCAAAAAACAAAAGTGAGTTACTTTTAAAAGTTTTGTTTGTGTTTTTGGTTATAGACAAAATTGTGGATTTTGATGGTCTTTTTGCACTTTGGATATAGATAGATAGTAATATAATAACTTTTGATTTTTTTTTGTTTAAGTTCTATCTTATAAAATCAAAATTTTAAAATCAGACAACAACTGAACTATGATTTGTATCATGAAACTAATATATATTTTTTTTTCTCTGTTACATACTTACAGTATTTTATAGAAGAAAATTTAAAACTTTTAATATATGGATTAAGGTTTTTTGTCATTATCTAAATTTAATATCATTGTATTTTTAGCAATTTTAAATTAGGTAACCACGTTTTAAATTAACATATCCCACATTGCTTAGGAATATGAGGGAGGGCGGTTTATGCCCTATATAAATACTCTGCGATATTTTTATAAACTTTTTCACTTTAGACGTCGTATTAAGGCGGTGATTAGCGATTTCGTAACACAGATTTGCTCTGAAATTTTAGGGTTTCGTCCTAAACGACTCTGTTCGTGTTCGGTGTCTGAATTCGCAATTCCGAAGCTATGTGTACCGACGTTGATATGCCTTTAGCACCAGCTTGTACCGGCGACTCAACGATGCTGTCTCCGTCTCGTTATCAATTAGAGGCGAAACTGAATGTGAAGAGCAGAATCTGGAATCAACTAAATTCAAACCGTTACGGTGATAAGAGAAGGCTAGGGTTCATGGAGACTCAGAAGGAAGATATGCCACCAGAGCATCTAAGGAAGATTGTGAGAGAACATGGTGATATGTCATCGAAGAAGTATCGTAACGACAAGCGAGTTTATCTCGGTGCTCTTAAGTTTGTTCCACACGCTGTCTTTAAGCTTTTGGAGAACATGCCTATGCCTTGGGAACAGGTTAGAGATGTTAAGGTTTTGTATCACATTACTGGAGCTATTACGTTTGTTAATGAGATTCCTTTGGTTGTTGAACCTGTTTACATGGCTCAATGGGGTACTATGTGGATTATGATGCGTAGGGAGAAGAGAGACCGTAGACATTTTAAGAGGATGCGGTTTCCACCGTTTGATGATGAGGAGCCTGTTCTGGATTATGCTGATAATTTGATGGATGTTGATCCTTTGGAGCCTATTCAGTTGGATCTTGATGAGGGAGATGATTCTTGTGTGTACAATTGGTTTTATGACCATAGGCCACTTTTGAAGACGAGTATGATCAATGGTCCGAGTTACAAGAGGTGGAATCTTTCACTTCCGGTTATGGCAACGCTTCACAGGCTTGCAGGTCAGTTGCTTTCTGATCTTGTTGATCGGAACTATTTCTATTTGTTTGATATGCCATCGTTCTGCACTGCCAAGGCGTTGAATATGTGTATACCTGGTGGTCCTAAGTTTGAACCTTTGTATCGTGATATGGAGAAAGGTGATGAGGAATGGAACGAGTTTAATGACATCAACAAGGTTATCACTCGATCAAGGCTGCGAACTGAAGGCAGGATTGCGTTTCCCTACTTGTACAATAACAGGCCAAGGAAAGTTAAGCTATGTGCGTATCACACTCCAATGGTTATGTTTATCAAGACAGAGGATCCTGATCTTCCTGCGTTTTATTATGATCCGTTAATTAACCCGATTAGCAACACTTTTCATGACAGGAAGGTTTATGATGAGGATGAATTTGTTTTACCAAACGGAGTGGAGCCTTTGCTGCTAGATACTCAGCTTTACACTGACACTACAACTGATGGGATTTCGTTGTTGTTTGCACCAAGACCTTTCAATATGAGATCTGGGAAGACACGACGGGCAGAAGATATACCGCTGGTGTCGGAGTGGTTTAAGGAGCACTGTCCTTCATCACATCCGGTCAAAGTTCGGGTTAGTTACCAGAAGCTTTTGAAATGTTATGTTCTGAATGAGTTGCACCGTAGACCACCTAAAGCTCAGAAGAAAAAGCACTTGTTCCGATCTCTCGCAGGTACTAAGTTTTTCCAAAGCACTGAACTTGATTGGGTTGAAGCGGGTCTGCAAGTTTGTCGGCAGGGGTATAATATGTTGAATCTGTTGATTCACAGGAAGGGTTTAAACTACCTGCATCTAGATTACAACTTCAACCTCAAGCCAGTTAAGACTTTGACGACTAAAGAGCGCAAGAAGTCTCGTTTTGGGAATGCTTTCCATCTCTGTCGCGAGATTCTCAGGCTGACAAAACTTGTAGTTGACGCAAATGTCCAGTTCAGGTTGGGGAATGTTGACGCCTTCCAATTGGCTGATGGTCTGCAATATATTTTCTCCCATGTTGGCCAATTGACAGGTATGTATCGCTATAAGTACAGGCTGATGAGACAGATTAGGATGTGTAAGGATTTAAAGCACTTGATTTACTACCGTTTTAATACTGGCCCTGTGGGTAAAGGACCAGGGTGTGGGTTTTGGGCTCCAATGTGGAGAGTGTGGTTGTTTTTCCTCCGTGGAATAGTTCCTCTACTTGAACGATGGTTAGGAAATCTTCTTGGACGTCAATTTGAGGGGCGTCATTCAAAAGGAGTGGCAAAGACCGTCACAAAACAAAGAGTCGAGAGCCATTTTGATTTGGAGCTTCGATCTGCTGTCATGCATGATGTTGTTGATGCCATGCCAGAGGGAATCAAGCAGAATAAAGTGCGGACGATAGAGCAGCACCTTAGTGAGGCATGGCGGTGTTGGAAAGCTAATATTCCTTGGAAGGTTCCTGAACTGCCTGTGCCAGTTGAGAATTTGATCCTCCGGTATGTGAAGCATAAGGCTGATTGGTGGACAAATGTTACTCACTACAATCGTGAACGCATCAGAAGAGGTGCAACTGTTGATAAGACAGTTTGTAGAAAGAATCTTGGAAGAATGACTCGTCTTTGGTTAAAGACAGAACAGGAAAGACAGCACAATTACCTGAAAGACGGTTCACCTGTAACCCCAGAAGAAGCCGTGGCAACTTATAGAACTACAGTAGAGTGGCTGGAAGCAAGGAAATTTTCACCAATTCCATTCCCTCCTCTGTCGTACAAACATGAGACAAAGTTGCTCATCCTCGCCCTTGAGAGACTGAAAGAATCATGTGGAGGTGAAAGGTTGAACCAGCAACAGCGAGAAGAGCTTGGTTTAATTGAACAAGCGTATGACAACCCTCATGAAACTCTAGCACGGATTAAACGTCACCTTTTCACACAACGTCAGTTCAAAGAAGTGGGCATTGAGTTTATGGATCTCTACAGCTATTTGATACCGGTCTATGAAATTGATCCTTTAGAGAAAATTACGGATGCCTATCTTGATCAATACTTGTGGTATGAGGCTGACAAGCGCCACTTGTTTCCGAACTGGATTAAGCCTGCAGACTCAGAGCCGCCACCTCTTCTAGTTTACAAGTGGTGTCAGGGTATAAATAATTTGCAAGGCATATGGGACACATCCGATGGGCAGTGTGTGGTGATGCTCCAGACAAAGTTTGAAAAGTTGTTTGAGAAGGTTGATTTCACATTATTGAACAAGCTTCTTCGTTTGATTGTTGACCCCAGTATTGCAGACTACGTGACTGCCAAGAATAATGTGGATCTGTCTTACAAGGATATGAGACATACTAACTCATATGGTCTCATTAGGGGACTTCAGTTCTCATCCTTTGTTACTCAGTTTTATGGACTAGTGTTGGATCTTTTGCTTCTTGGTTTAACTAGAGCGAGTGAGATTGCTGGCCGACCGCAGATGCCTAACGAGTTTATGACCTATTGGGATACAAAAGTTGAGACGCGACATCCTATAAGACTATATTCTCGGTATATAGACAAGGTGCATATAATGTTTAAATTTAGCCATGAAGAGGCTCGAGATCTTATTCAACGTTATCTTAGGGAGCATCCTGATCCCAACAATGAGAACATGGTGGGGTATAACAACAAGAAGTGCTGGCCGAGAGATGCCAGGATGAGGTTGATGAAACATGATGTCAATCTTGGTAGAAGTATCTTCTGGGAAATGAAGAACCGTCTTCCGCGGAGCCTTACAACTTTTGAGTGGGAGAATAGCTTTGTCTCTGTGTACAGCAAAGACAATCCTCATCTGCTGTTCAACATGTGTGGATTTGAAATCCGCATACTTCCAAAAGTCAGAATGAGCCAAGAAGCTTTCAGCAACATAGGGGATGGTGTATGGAATTTACAGAATGAACAGACTAAAGAGAAGACTGCCGTTGCTTTTCTGCGGGTTGATGAAGAACACATGAAGGTGTTTGAGAATCGTGTGAGGCAAATTTTGATGTCATCAGGGTCAACCACATTTACCAAAATCGCTAATAAATGGAACACAACTTTGATAGGTCTCATGACTTATTTTCGCGAAGCCACTCTGCATACGCCAGAGCTCATTGATCTGTTGGTTAAAGGTGAAAGTAAAATCCAAACAAGGATTAAGATTGGGCTGAACTCAAAGATGCCTAGTCGATTTCCTCCTGTTGTCTTTTACACTCCGAAGGAACTCGGCGGGCTTGGAATGCTGTCTATGAGTCATATTTTAATTCCACAAAGTGATATTCAGTACAGCAGGCAAACAGACGTTGGTGTTACCCACTTTAGGAGTGGAATGAGTCAAGGAGAGGATTTGAAGATACCCAATCTTTACCGTTACATACAGCCATGGGAAAGTGAGTTTATTGATTCACAGCGGGTGTGGGCAGAATATGCCTTAAAGAGGCAGGAGGCACAGGCCCAAAATAGACGGCTTACACTTGAGGATCTGGAAGACTCTTGGGATAGGGGACTTCCACGTATCAACACACTGTTTCAGAAGGATAGGCACACATTAGCTTATGATAAAGGTTGGAGAGTGCGGACCGACTTCAAGCAGTACCAGGTTCTGAGACAAAATCCTTTCTGGTGGACTCATCAGAGGCATGACGGGAAGTTGTGGAACCTAAACAATTATCGAACAGATGTAATCCAAGCTCTTGGAGGTGTTGAGAGTATTCTTGAGCACACTTTATTTAAGGCAACATACTTCCCAACATGGGAGGGTCTGTTCTGGGAGAAAGCATCTGGGTTTGAGGAATCAATGAAATATAAGAAGCTTACAAATGCACAAAGGTCTGGTCTGAACCAGATTCCTAATAGAAGATTCACGCTCTGGTGGTCGCCAACAATCAATCGAGCAAATGTTTATGTCGGTTTTCAAGTGCAGTTGGATCTAACTGGAATATTCATGCATGGAAAGATTCCCACTCTTAAGATCTCTTTGATTCAGATTTTTCGTGCCCACATGTGGCAAATGATCCACGAGAGCATCGTTATGGATCTTTGCCAAGTATTGGACCAACAAATGGATGAGTTTGGGATAGATATTGTGCAGAAGGAGACGATTCATCCAAGAAAGAGTTACAAAATGAATAGCTCTTGTGCTGATATTCTTCTGTTTGGTGTCTGTAAATGGGCAATGTCGAAGCCAAGTCTGGTGACTGACTCGAATGATATGTTTGATCAGAAAGCTGGTAATAAGTATTGGATAGATGTACAGCTTCGATGGGGAGATTATGACTCTCATGATATTGAACGTTACACTAGGGCCAAATTCATGGATTATACAACGGATAACATGTCGATTTATCCAGCTCCAACAGGTGTGATGATTGGGATTGATTTGGCATATAATGTGTATTCTGCTTATGGTAATTGGTTTCCTGGTTTAAAATCTCTGGTTACTAAAGCAATGAACAAGATTATGAAGTCAAATCCTACGTTATATGGGCTGAGAGAAAGGATAAGAAAAGGTTTGCAGTTATACTCATCTGAGCCTACAGAGCCAAATTTGTCATCTCAAAACTATGGTGAAATATTCAGCAATCAGATTATATGGTTTATTGATGATACCAACGTCTATCGTGTGACGATGCATAAGACGTTTGAAGGAAATCTGACGACAAAGCCAATCAATGGTGCACTTTTTATTTTCAATCCAAGAACTGGGCAGTTATACCTGAAGGTTATGCATACAAGCGTTTGGGCCGGTCAGAAGCGTCTTAGTCAGCTTGCAAAATGGAAAACTGCTGAAGAGGTTGCTGCGCTTGTGCGGTCTTTCCCTGTTGAAGAACAACCAAAACAACTTATTGTGACTCGTAAAGGAATGTTGGATCCCACTCAGGCCACCATGAAGGATTTCCCCAACATTGTTATCAAGGGAAGCGAACTGCAGCTTCCATTTCAGGCTTGCCTGAAGATTGAGAAATTTGGTGATCAGATTTTGAAAGCCACTGAGCCAAAGATGCTCCTCTTCAATATATATGATGATTGGTTGACAAGTATATCTTCATACACTGCCTTCTCAAGACTCATTCTTATCCTTCGTGCTCTTCATGTCAACAATGAGAAAGCTAAGATGTTATTGAAGCCCGACAAGTCTGTTGTTACTGAGACACATCACATCTGGCCTTCTTTCACTGACGACCAATGGATAAAGGTGGAGGTTGCCCTTAAAGATCTCATCCTTTCTGACTATGCCATGAAGAATACCGTGAATATATCAGCTTTGACACAGTCAGAGATAAGAGATATTATACTTGGAGCTGAGATAACTCCACCGTCTCAACAAAGGCAACAAATAGCTGCACTTGATAAACAGGCCAAAGAAGTGAGACAGCTTAGTGCAGTCACAACGAGGACCACTAATGTTCATGGTGATGCACTCATTGTCACCACCTTTAGTCCCTATGAGCAATCTACATTTGGTTCCAAAACAGATTGGCGCGTCCGTGCAATCTCAGCTACTAACCTCCATCTTAGGGTCAACCACATTTATGTGAATTCATATGACGTAAATGAAACAGGATACACCTACATAATGCCAAAGAATATCTTGAAGAAGTTCATACTCATAGCAGATCTTCGTACTCAGATTGCTGGGTATTTGTATGGTATAAGTCCCCCTGATAATCCTCAAGTCAAGGAAATTCGATGCGTTGTGATGGTGCCACAGCGAGGATCTCATCAGCAAGTTCACTTACCGTCATCTCTTCCTGAGCATGACTTCTTAAAGGATCTTGAGCCTTTGGGCTGGATGCACACACAACCTAATGAGCTTCCTCAATTGTCACCACAAGATGTTATGTCGCATGCCCGTTTTCTGGAGAATAATAAGCAATGGGACAGAGAGAAATGTATTATCTTGACTTGCAGTTTCACTCCAGGCTCATGTTCGTTGACCTCATATAAGCTGACACAAACTGGATATGAATGGGGACGTCTCAACAAGGACAGTGGCAACAATCCCCAAGATTATCTTCCAACACACTATGACAAGGTTCAAATGCTATTGAGTGACCGGTTCCTTGGGTTTTACATGGTTCCTGATAACGGACCATGGAACTATAACTTTATGGGAGTGAAGCACACAGTGAGCATGAAATACAGTTTGAATCTCGGAAACCCCAAGGAGTTCTATGACATTGAGCATCGACCCACTCATTATCTGGAGTTCAGCAATATGGAGGAGGATGATGACTTTAGCGAGAAAGATCGTGAGGACTGTTTTGCTTGACATTATATCTTTTAGTCCCTTCTTGTTACCTTTGCACCTGTGTCTTATAAGAATCTTATGTCTATGACCGCATTTATATTCTTGTTCATTGTTGGGATTAATTGATCTACAAATGTAACCAGTCTTTTGGTTTAAGTTATAACATTATTGATGCAGTGTCGAGTATTGTCTTCACTTTCTTCATATTATTGTCCTGGATTACCCAACCGTAATATGTCTTGATCTATTAGTTGGGTGTGTGTGTATATGATTTGGAGCTTGGTAAATTTTCATTTGAAACATTTTCTTGTGGCTGTCTTTTCTTGCAGGTTGATGTTATCTATGTTTTGTACTGAGGTTCGATGTAATCTATTTGTAGGATTTGTAGGATTGAAGCAGATTTGTTCACTTGTTTCCTTGGTCTTTCTCCTTTTCTCTTTACTTATGGATTCATCATTTCTCATAGTGTGTAGTATTTAGATCTTTGTATATTTATTTAACTTCTATTGTTACTTTCAGACTAAATTGGCTTCTGGTTTACTTATATTAGCATTTTGCAGGTGACGACATTGCCTAAAAGATTGACTGATAGGGCTCTGCTTAGCTCTAGGATTTCGATTGAGAACATAATAGTTTCATTTGACATTTAATCTTGTATTACCTTTTGTTGTACTTCCTTCCTTCCTGCTTGTGTGTCTTATTGTGCTATAGAGAACTTACAAGACTCATGTGTACTAAGAAACCTTAGAAATTTGAAACTAAGAACTAGTTGGTCTGAAGAGGCAACCAGTCCCGTTAGGCTCAAGCTTAGACAGAGTGTTCACTTTCTAAATCTTATTGTCCTTGATTACGAATTGTCTGAAAGTGACGGGATATATATGTTGTGTGTCTGTGGATATATTAGTTTCTCTCCGATATATAATCACGAATCTGACCGTCTTCTTGGCAGGCAATGGATCTCACTTGGAGTGTGTGTGATGCACCTGAACTTATTATGATTGGAATGGTTTGCTCACCTGTTTTTATTTAGTCTTTGTATGTTTGTTTAGTTTCTATTCTCGTTGCTTCAACTAAACTTGGCTTATGGTTAACGATCACAAATACTCTTAGGTGACACTGCCAAAAAGGTGGACTGATATGCTTTGCTCAGCTCGAGGATTTCAACTGAGAACAGATTCATTTGACATTTTAGGTAATTTTCAAAGTCCTCTTGAGTTGTGCTGCCTTAGTTCTTTATTTCTCTACTTTTCTTCCCATCTTGTTTTGTTATAAGGACTTGTAAGAAGTGTATTTTGTACACAGGGGAGCCTTTAGAAGTTAGATATCGAAAATTAGGATGTAGATCTATTGTACGCTTCTAGAGGACGATGATGGTTCTAGATAATACCAAATTGAAATGTGCTAAACTGTTTTCTGGCTTATGTTTCTGAACGGTATGCTTTTGAAGTATGGTCTGACTCTGAGATATAGATGTTATACTATATTTTGAAGATTTTGTTATAAGAATCATTTTTGAATCTGAAATCTTCGTTTTGTTATAGTTCATTAAGTCTGGTACAATTCTCCCCAGTCTTCATGTAGCATGATTCTGAAGGCAAAAGAGTTTTATAGATTAGGGAGAAGTATTACTGAAACATATCTACGTGAAACCCTCGGTTGGCTTAGCTAACTCTTGGAGAATATGCAGACGTATCTAGACTTTGAAGATTATGTTATAGTTGGTAAATTTTCACGTTGTTAATGTTATACACAAAGTGTTACGCCTACAATATTTCATTTGATAGAAACATACACATTGACCACAGTGGCTTATTAAAAGATGGTTAACCATTTTTGCAGTAATTAGAACACAAATATAAGATATACATCAAGTAATCACTAGCTCTGATAACAAAGAGAGTTATCAACTTTGGTGTCTTCTGAGAACTGAACATGAGATCCACATGGGAACATAAGCATAAACCTTCTAAGCACTATAGTCTCTTTTTTCATTGACCACCTTCAAACCATATGGGTACAAAGAAACACATGTAAGTAAAGGAAAAAAAAAAGCTTTCAACTGTTATAAATAAATCAAATCATTAGGTGATAAGAAAGAACCTGTATCTAAACAAATGATGGATAAAAATGGCCATCTGCAGCTTAGCAAACTCAGCTCCTACACATAGTCTAGAACCAGCACCAAAGGGAATGTAAGATTTGGAGAGAATTGAACCCATGTCTTCTCTCTGTAAATTTAATTATATTATATGCTGAAAATGATATAATATCGATAAAGTGGAATAGTATAAATAAACTAAATTCACCTTCCAACGCCATGGATTAAATTCTAAAGGGTCATCGTACTTCTCTGGATTGAAATGGGCATTAGCATATCCCATGAAGATCCAACCAGCTGGAATTGTATAGTCACCAACTTGGAAATCATGATCAGTTATTCTAAGTACTGTTGGTGCCGTGCTTGTGATCCTAAGCGACTCACTTATCACCTGAAATCAATTGTATATCAAGGTCAATGCACATACAACTTTAAAACTAATTAACAATTTGTGGATTGATATATGATTGTAGTAGCACACACTCACCATTTGGGTGAAAGTCATTGATTTGTATTCCTCCCATGTTAAGCCAACCTCCTTGTTGGTCTTACCATGGACAATTCTTTCATGCTCTCTTTGCAACTCTTGCATGACCTTAGGGTGGTCGCTTATGAGCTTTACCGTAGCCGCGAGGTTCCCTGGCGTTGTCTCGTTAGCAATCAAAAAGAAAGTATATATGTACTCGATCGCATTCTCGACGCTCATTTTCTCGGCTCCTCCTTCCATTTCTCCAAATATGATCTTGAAAAACTCCCCAAACTCCTCTCCTGATGCTCTCTTCTTTAATACCATCTCCTTTATTAATTTCATCATCCGCTTTCTTGCCTGTGACAAATTACATCATACAAAAATAATTATTTCCCCTCGAGTCATAAAGATTACATGAACTGAAAGACACATACCTTCATCATCCGATAGACACCAGTCCCAGGAATGTTCCAAGAGAACTGAAACCACTCTCTTGGAAAACATCTCCAACATAGTGCAAGTTCTTTTGCGGCTTCCGGTTCCATTTCTCCCATAACTTTCTTCGCAAGACATTCAATTAAGATCTGTAAAGTTCGATGATATGTGTTTGATGAGAATGAGATGATCCACTAAGTAAAATATAATCTTGCCAAGATTTATAGACAGCGTAAAAAAAAAATAACAAGAGTTTTTGTTACCTTGCTTGATGTTTCCTTGACGTCAAGGCGACCGTTCTTAACTCCTTCCTCCATGTATGTGCGAGCCAAGAGATCGATGTCTTCCACCATCTTCAACTTTAAACATTGCGTACCCAACAACTGTAGTGTCAAGTTTCGAACATGTTTATGAGACTGCTTGCTCTGGATAAACAGGTTGTTTTGCCCAAATAGCCGTGCTATGCTCTTCGTGACACCAGGGACATGATTTGCCTTTGCGATTTCCACATTTAGTTCAATATCCATCGAGATGATAGCTTTGCTTCCAAATAAGCTTGTCCGAAAAACTGGTCCATATCTATTATTTTTTCCAAAAAAAGTTATACATATATTTTAAAACTTTACATAATTAAAAAACTAGATTTTTAACCCGCTGCACACTAGGGACAATTTTTTTATTTATGTTAAAATTCAAAATTTTCTATTATGCTGGAATTTGTTAAAAAATTATTAAGATGACATAATACTAAACTTAAATAAATCAGTTTGATTCGACATGTCTTATATTGATTTTGTTAAAAAATAGTATAAGAAAATTTTAACCCGTTTTGAAGTATAAAGTTAATGATATTTTAATATTTTAGTAATATCTTTAAAACTGGTTCCGTCATATAACTCGTATGTAATTGTTATTTTTCAAACAAACAAAATTTGTAATAATTGTTTCCATAGTATTTTGCATAACGATAGTAACCCGTTTTCAAATATATACAAATACAATAACTTTATACACTAATAGTAATATATTGAAGTATTCTAGTGGTAAATGAATTGATTTGTATCAGAATAATTCGGGTTTAAACCTTTCCTCCAACATAGTATTTTTTTAGGAAATGAATTAAATGCAAAAATACTAATATAGATGATGCATGCTAAAGAAAAGTTAGCAAAGAACCTGAGAACTCTCTCCTTGATGAATGTTGGAAACTGAAGAACGTCATGAGGTTTCATGAACTCAAAAGTCTCTCCAATGATCGGTAAACCCATCGACCCCGGAGGTAACTGTCCATTGGTTTTAGGATTTCTCCACTGGTAGATCCAATGAAATAGCTTAACCACAACGAGAGAAGCTAGCACAGTCAATAACTCATAAACGTCTACCATATTAGTTAACGTGTCTCTTCTTTCAACAACGAGTGAAAATGTTTGTTTGAGAGTTTACGAGTGCATGTTTCTATGACTATGAGGGAGGTACTTTCTTTAGTCTTTATATTGGTGATTTATCATAAATGATATTTATTAAAGTGAATACTCATATCTATAATAAAAAGTTTTCTCCTATAGAAAAGGTGAAATCTGAAAGATTATTAATTACTTTTTTTTTAATGTGTCTTTCATCCACCGGTATTATTTATTTCTATTAGATTTAGTTATATTATTATATTCCCTGTATCTCATTATGCAACAAGTTTTGGTTAAAAGTACAAAAAATAATAAATACTCCATCCGTTTTTTTATTTGATGTTTAAGGTTCTTACACACAAATTAATAAAACATATAAAAATCCCATTAAAACATCATTAATGAAATCAACCAATAAGAAAATATGATGTAATATATGATTGGTCAAAAAGTATTAAAAACATTTAATTTTGCATAGAAAATTGAAAACGTCACTTAAAATGAAAGATTTTTTTTTTTGCTAAAACATCGAATAAAAAGAAACGAAGGAGTACTAAATATTTATCATTGAAAAACATTTAACCAACAAAAAAATACTGCAGAATTCAAATAGTGACAAATTATTAAACTAATAGAAATTTTGCATAGAAATTTGAAAAATTCTATTAAAATATACCAAAGAAAGAAAGAAGCCTAAAAATAATTTATATTGGGACATAGAGAATATTAGGAGGTCTCTTTTCTCTTACAACCGAATATCCCAATATCCAATTTATTTTTAAGATTTCCTTTTTGTTTGTAACAAAAGATTTTTGTAAATTAACATATAGCATCCCTGATTTTAGCAAAGGTCTTTTCCTTTAAACTCAAATAACCATTACATATTTTCACTAGATTTAATTGTATCAACTTTAAAAAAAGTTTCTTTTATCTTAACCCTCAATTTATATATTATGAAAAGTGTCGATTTAACTACTTCGTTTGGAGAGAGTGTGATTGTTGTATATATACAAGGTACCAGCTACTTATTGATTTCACAGCTCCTCCAAAATATTAATAAGCTGATCTATAACAGAATTGACCTCCCTTGAGGCCTTGAGTATTCGGTGCAGCCTCGGCCTCGACATCTTATGCAAAGGTGGTTGATGGTAGGCTCTTGAAAACTCTGATCTGAAGCTCCGCTCTCAAGTTTTTTTTTATAAAGTCTCTGTTTTATTGCCTTCGAAGAAGACACTTGAGTTTGTACATATTTTTTTTCTCCATTTTGATCATGTAATACACACTTCAACTAACAAAATGAAAACGAAATTGGCATATCAGTTAGTACTATATGTGTGTATTACATGGTTGTTTAATTTAATAGAAAAATATGAGTAGGATATGGAAAATGACAATTTGTTTTAATTTTAAATTTTAATAAACAACCAAGGAACAAACAATACGTCTGTATCTTTTGTTGTAACTTGTAAGAAAATAGAAAGATTATTTGATGCTAGATTTGTAATTTTTTTAAGTATGGTTTGTTTTTTTTTTTTTATGGGTCAATAATTTTTATAAATTTGAAGGATATAAAATCAACAATAAAATCAACAGTCTCGCCTACGAAGTTGGCGGAAAATTTCTATGGATTGTGAAAAAGATAAGAAATTACTCAAAATAATATACCTTTTTAAAAATATCATTATTTTAGTTTAATGTTCCCATATACCAGCAAAATATTTTGTTTTCCCGAAAATACACCTACAAACAAAAAACAAAATTATTTTCAAGGGTTTAAAGTTCAAAATTTTGGGTTTGGTGAAATTATTTTTGATTTAGGATAAAATTTTTAGGGGATAGGACCGGGTTTAGTTTTAAGGGTGAAAATATTAATTTTATTGTTGTGCTATTTTTTGGAAAAAAATAGAGTTTTTTTGTGCACCAAGGAAAAAATATAGTTTAGTGGTTTTTTTTAAACAGTCAAAATAATATATAATAGTACTTTTTAGTTAAAAAACCCTCATTTTAGTTGTCTTTTTGTGATAATATTCCTAAAAAATACTTGAGATAAAAACTAATTCAAACAAGAAAACGTCATTACAAAACTCGTAAGTCGTAACTAAGTCATACCTAAAATAATTTGACTTAAGATCTGAATTAACCTTATGTATATTATGAATGTTCCTTGACTTTGTGATATGAAGAAAATTTGCTGAGCCATGTTAACATTTTGAATCAACAAAAACAAAGAAGTATATGTCTCGTTTACAGGGTTTTCTTAAGTCTACTTTTGCGGGTTGTGACGTTTGTTAATTGGATCGGACAAGATTTATATTTTACCAATTTTGTCAAATTTAGGGTTGATTGTGTAGTGTCGAATAGTGTTTTTAATTAAGGGAGAATCCAAAACAATACTCAATCTGGGATATTATATTGGGACCTAACAAAACTCAATATACAAATTTACATATAATAGTTATCATTTTCACGAATAGCCATTTGACCTAACCAGCAATAATTTTACAACTCATAATTACCTCATTGGACTCGGCCTTGCCTATACATGTATATTAATTATTATTACAAAAGCAATCATACTCACATAGAAAAGTCTGTTGGAACTGAATTGCGCTCCTACAAAGTCTTATATCACAAAGATATCTATTGTATGATTAGAATTTTAATCGCACTACAACGTAGAATAAAAACTTTTGATGATTTGAAATTTTCGATATTTTATTTTTAAAATTTCCAAACTAATTTTATGATTATAAAATAAATTTATATATATACTAAGACTGTGAGTTGGATTGTTGTTTATCGTATATATAAGTTAACTATATATCATTCTTATGTGGTTATTTATTTTTCTTTTCTTTTTTTTGTCGGCAAAAGTTTTGCCTACTTAATTAAGAAAAATATCTGAAGATGCAACATAAAAATCGTAAGAAATATTGCGATTATTTTTAATTTCACATTTAGAATATCTTTTTTTTTTTTTTTTTCATTTAGAATATCTTATCTAACTTAAGAACTGAAAAACACACGTAACGTTGAAGATTCACGCAATGATTCCGGCGGTTTTTTCCAAATATTGCCATTAGTCCAACCTACCGTTGGTCTTAATGACGCTCAAGTCATTTTGATCATTTTTAATGATTTGGAATTAGGGTTTGTCGTTTAGTCAATTCAATTTTGTTTCCCTTTTAATATTCATAAACACTTTCTAAAATTTTAAATACGATCAAATCTTCAATACATAGTTCTTTTTCTGTTTTAAAACTTGAATTATTGCCAATCAAATACTACAGAGTTGAGTATTTGACTAATTAATTCGAAGTTTCATCTAAGTGACGTTGTTGATCTGATTTCAGTTGAAGTTTCATTACCGAAGACGTTGATCTGATTGTAATGTCTTGGTTGACTTATGGAAGTCGCTATTACGTTAATTACATCATTTTAAACAAGATAATTTTACCTTGTTTAGCAAAAAAAGAACAACACTATATCTTGTATCTAAATATCTTTTATATTTATAGAGAAGCATTTCATATAAAAAAGCTGATGTGCCGTGTTTACAAAACTTTTAGGTGTTTAATAATAAAATACCCTTACTACTCATTATTATATACGACGAAAAAAAAAAACTCATTATTATATACATCAATATACCACGGAAATATGTAATGCAATGTTTCTTATAATCATTTAAAACTTAAAAACGTTCATTTAACTAAACAATTAAAATCCAACTAAATCAACATTTTTTTGAATGTAATGTTAATTTATTTTCAAAAGAAAGGGTTACGTGTTTACAACAAATGCATCCAAAACATGAAAAATACTGATATTTTGCTGAAAAGTTCAGAAAAGCAAGAGTGATTTAAGAGATTTCATGAAGTTGTTCTCGTTTGCAGCCAAGTTTGGAATCGGGCGTCATATATGTGATCTGCCATCCTTCGTGTCCTTGTGCATTGGTTTCGAACTTGTTGATCGATCCTTTTGATCAGGTGTCCTGTCGTGGTTTATGAGTTGCTGTGCCGCCGGTCATTACGCTCTCTCCAGATGATGTGAATGGTGGCTTGGAAGATATAGCGAGCATTGAAAAATAAACCAACATTTTAATTTTTTTGTTTCTGATAAATATCTAAAGGATTATATTAAATTCAAACAGTTGCAAAAACAATAATTCAAATGATCTTTTTTTACAACTACTAATTTAATATACTATAATACAAAAATATTATACATTTTTATAGTTAAGATGTGTGGTCATGTATTATGTTCTATTTCCTGTTAGTAAGTTATCTTTTTTCCTACTAATTATTGCTTAATCTTCTATGTATGCACAATATTGGAAAAGATGATTTTCCCTTTACATAATCAGACACGAAATATCAAGACTTTGTTTAAGTACCATAAAAAATTGAATGACAAAAAATAAATAGAACATAAAATACTAAAACTTAACATCATTCCGCACAAAGGGCGAGAGAGGCGAGTACAAGTTTAAAAGGGAACATGCCTCTTCCACATCTTCTCCACTTATCCAAATATACTCATATAATTTCTTCTATCTTAATCTTGTTACCCGTTGGCTTTTTTCTTAAGGTATCCAAGGAAGACAATGGAAGTGAAGATAGAGGTGGCGGCGAGAGAAGTGATCAAGCCTGCTTCACCATCACCTCGTGCTCGCCTTCAACTCTCCGTCCTTGATCTAAGTTGTCCCCCACACTACGTGTCGACCGTCTTCTTCTACGAACCTGACGATCTCTTAACCGTATCCCCGGAGATTTTCTCGGAAAAGCTGAAAAGATCTCTGTCCGAGACTCTTTCACGCTTCTATCCATTGGCTGGACGAATAGAAGGCGTTTCCATCAGATGTAACGACGAAGGAGCCGTGTTCACTGAGGCGCGAACCGATCTCCTACTCCCTCACTTCCTGAGAAACCTAAACACTGACTCTCTTGAGGGGTTCCTCCCGATGTTAGCCCCCGGAGATTCTCCAGGGGAGTGGCCTTTGTTGAGTGTCATGGTCACTTTCTTCGGGTCTGGATCAGGAGTTGCGGTTTCTGTCTCTGTCTCTCACAAAATCTGTGATGCAAACTCTTTCCTGACCTTTGTAAATGATTGGGCTACCACCACGGCCAAAGGGAAGTCAAATGATGTGGCCGTAACTAGTATTGAGTTCGCTGAAACGGCCATTTTTCCTCCTCCTTCTCCTCAAATGTGTATGGAATCCCCATCAACGGATTATACTTATACCATAACAAGTAAATGTGTAGTCAAGAGATTCGTCCTCGAACCCTCTAAGATTGCTGAGCTCAGACACAAGGCTGCTAGCGAAAGCGTCCCTAGACCTACACGCGTTGAAGCTATCATGTCACTTCTTTGGAAATGTGCCATAAAATCCTCACGCTCTAACTTGGTAACTCCAAGGCAAGCCATGATGGGTATGGCCATGGACTTGCGGCTTAGGATTCCATCTACTGTGTTGCCTCAAGACGCCATCGGCAACCTACAAACAGGTTTTGGTCTCAAGAATGGCGCAGAGATGGAGTTGGAGATCCCCGAAATTGTGGCCTTATTCAGGAAAGCCAAAGAAGGAGTCAACGAGATGATCAAAGAAAACCTCCAAGGCAATACACTTGGTCAGAGTTTACTGAGTTTGATGGAGAAAGCTTACTTAGAAGCAATAGACTCAGACAGATACATAATGTCTAGCTGGTGCAGAAAGCCTTTCTACAAGGTTGACTTTGGATTAGGTTGTCCGGTGTGGATGGGATACGTATCAAGGACCATTTACAACACCATGATGTATGTCCTGTTGATTGATTCAAAAGAAGGTGATGGTGTAGAAGCATGGATAAGTTTACCTGAGCAAGACATGTCTGTGTTCGTCGATGACCAAGAGTTGCTTGCTTATGCCATCCTAAATCCCCCGGTTCTGACCTAAACAGGACTACTACCAATCTTACCAAGATTGCTCTACGCTGAATTTACTAAGTCTTGTCTTTTGTGTGTTCGTTGTGATCTAAATAAAGTGAACAATCATTTGATTCTTAGTTGATGTGTTCATGCATGATCTTGATCATCTTGTTTGTAGTCTATAATAAATGGTTTATCCATCGTATGATTTGATTTAGTTTTTAGATGTATCTTGGACTTTGTGGGAAAATGTCTATAAGAAGATACAGATCTCTCTATTCATCGCCAGCTAAAATTTTATTTTCTATACTTTTATTAAAAAAAATGATCAATGAGGGTCCTCTAAATATAATAAACGAAACCTTTTCTAAACACATGTTACCACAGTGACATCGAAGGAATTTGACATGTTTCATCCAAGAATTTGATATGTATCATTTATTTTTTTGTTGTTTTTTTCATTTTTTTCATATTTTTCTTTGGTAAATAGGTTATCTCTTAATTTGTTTCTCAACTCAAATACACATCATTAATTTAAAATTCATTCATCTTTATATTAAAATAAATAAAACTATATTCTCTTAAAATTTTGAGAAACACATTTTTTTTTTAAAGAGAAATTCTCATATATTACTAGTGAAACATTATTTCATAACGCTTATTCTTCATTAACCGCAGTTGTCTCGCAAATACATTTTTCTTACATATACAGTACAGCAATATTTAACCATACCATATTATAAAATTGCTTATCCCATATAACTAAATTTACGGTTACCATTCAAACCATTAGAAGAAGGAACTTATACTTTTAAAGTTTTTTAGCCGATGGAGGATCCAAAACAAATCTCAATATGGGACACATATAATAATTATCATTTTTCTGACCCAACGAGCAATAATTTTATACTTCATAATCAACTAGGGCCACAGCTTACCTCTTTGGACTCAGCCTTGCCCTTAATAGTATTAAGGGTTCCCTTTTAAATACATCATTCATACATGTTAATTAATCATTATTACAAAGCAATCATACTGAAATAGAAAAGTCTTATAAGATCCCAGCAATAATGTTGGTATAAGAGCATCGTTATCGCTAGATACGCTCCTTGTATCTCAAAATCTATGGGATGAAGAATCCTGTCCACGTTTTTCATGCTAGCATAAAATAACAATTAGTTGTTGTGAATTTTTTACATCTTGTGAAAATAACCTAAGAAATTTATCTAGTGTAATTTTACAATGTTTGACAATGTATAATATATATTAGAATTTTAAAAGCACTACAGGGTGGGACAAAAGGTTTTGATAATTTAATTTTAACTTTTAAATCCATTTTCAAGATATGTTGTACTTTGATCTTCTTATGTTGTTCGACCTCAAAATCGAATTAAACCCAATATAAACATACAAATGTAAATGAATTTTTAGTATGAGTTTTTTTTTTATATAAAATTTTGAATAACCTGAATGTTCTGAACATATAACCGAGACTTATAAGGTGAAATAAACCTGTGGTCTTCAAATTACCTACGTTTTCGGTTAACCTAAATCAAACCACTAGTCCAACCTCAAAAAATTGGTATTTATATTTTTTGAGAGAGTAAGGAAAGGTCTCAATGTCTCATACTTATTTGATTTGATTTTGTTATCATTTTGATAATTTTGAATGAATTGGATTAGGGCTCATCGTTATACTCGATGTGAGACTTTAAACAAATTACTCTTCCAAATGTTTTACCAGTTATGATATTCCAGTATTACTTTCTCTTGTGTGTCTCATACGATTAAATATATACTGTATCTATATATAAAATATTGATTTCGACTATATCAATTAAATTTGATTTCCCTTTAAAAATTCATAAACACTTTCTAAAATCTTAATACGATCAAATCTTCGATATACAGTTTTTTTTATTCAGTTTTTTTTATTCAGTTTAAAACTTTAATAATATTATTATTGCCAATAAAATACTTCATAAAAATACTACACAGTCGTCTATTTTACTAATTTGAAATTTCATTTAATTTTCATAGGGCAATTTCTTTGTTTAAAATTAATGTGATGGCCCAGACGACATTAAAGTAGTTGATCTGATTACAATGTCTAGGCTGACTTGTGGAAGGCGCTAATAAAATAAACATTATCTTCCCTCCAAATACAAGTTTAAAAGGGACATGCCTCTTCCATGATCTTCTTGACTTGTCAAAATTTACTCATTTCTTCCTTCCATCTTATTACCCGTTGGCTTGGTTTTTAAAGTCTGGAGGGAAGACAATGGAAATGAAACTAAAGGTGGCGGCGAGAGAAGTGATTAAGCCTGCTTCACTATCACCTCGTGATCGCCTTCAACTCTCCGTCCTTGATCTCTATTGTCCCCCAGTCTACATGTCGACGATCTTCTTTTACGAACCTGACGATCTCTTAACCGTATCCCCGGAGATTTTCTCGGTATAACTGAAATGCTCGTTGTCCGAGACTCTTTCACGCTTCTATCCACTCGCTTGACGAATAGAAGGCGTTCCCATCAGCTGTAACGACAAAGGAGCCGTGTTTACAGAAGCCCACAACGATATCATTCTCCCTCACTTCTTGAGACATCTAAACACTGAGACTCTTGAGGGGTTCCTCCCGAAGTTAGCCCCCGGAGATTCTCCAGGGGAGTGGCCCTTGTTGAGTGTCATGGTCACTTTCTTTGGGTCTGGATCAGGAGTGGCGATCTCTGTCTCTGTCTCTGTCTCTCACAAAATATGTGATGCGCGCAACCTCATTGGTGACCTTTGTAAATGATTGGTCTACCACCACGGCCAAAGGGAAGTCAAATGATGAGGCGGTAAACACTATTGCGTTTGCTGAAACTACCATTTATCCTCCTCCTTCTCCTCATCAAATGTATTTACAGTTCCCATCAAAGGATTCTAATAAAAATATCACAACTATAATAAAAAGATTTGTCTTCGAACCCTCCAAGATTGCTTTGCTCAGACACAAGGCTGCTAGCAAAAGCGTCCCTGTACCTACACGTGTTGAAGCTATCATGTCACTTCTTTGGAAATGCGCCAGAAAATCCTCACGCTCTAACTTGGTACTTCCAAGGACATCCGTGATGTGTCAGGCCATGGACTTGCGGCTAAGGATTCCATCTACTGTTTTGTCTCAAGACGCGATCGGCAACCTACAAATTGGTTTCACTCTCAAGAAAGACGCAGAGATGGAGTCAATGAGATGATCAAAGAGAATCTCAAGGAAATACACTTAGTCAGAATTTGGTGAGGTTGATGGAGGAAGATGTGTCAGAGTCACCGGTCACAGACATGTGCATAATGTCTAGCTGCTCAGAAAGCCTTTCTACAAGGTTGACTTTGGATTAGGTTTCCCGGTCTGGATGGGATACGCGTCAAATACCATTTACAGCACCATGGTGTACGTCCTGTTGATTGATTCAAAAGAAGGTGATGGTGTAGAACTTCTACAGTAGAAGCATGGATAAGCTTACCTGAGCAAGACATGGCCGTGTTTTTCGATGACCAAGAGTTGCTTGCTTATGCCATCCCAAATCCTCCAGTCATGACGACCTAAACAGGACTACCAATCACAATAAAGATTGCTCTACGCTGGATTTACTAAGTTCTTGGCTTTTGTGTGTTCGTTGTGATCTAAATAAAGTGAACAGTCATTTATTTCTTTAGTTGATGCGTTCATGACCTTGATCTTGTTTGTATTCTATAGGGTTTATATATCCATTGTATGATTTGTCAGTTTGTTTTCCTAAGTAAGAATAAATTTTCTTTAGTAAATCAATAGGCTATGATAGGGTTCATGGCTCTGGTTGTTTCGAAGCTTGTACAAGCTTAAGCATTTTGAAAACATCATTCTGACAAACGTGAAACATGTCTACGATATAGATATTGAGAAGTCAATTATAAACGTAGCTATGGGTGCAGCTCAAATGAATCTAATACATCAAGAACCAGTTCTACCTCACCCATCATACACTATATACAGAATAGCACAAATAAAATACATGAATAAATAAGCAAAAGATATAGAGATAAAAGATCATTTACGTACAAAGTGTTTAGATCCAAATGATATTTATAAGAACCAATTAGGGATAAAAGCATGAAATATATCTTCTTGATGGCGGCTTTATAACAAATCAAATATGAGTTCGTGACGATCTGGCCAGATAATATACGTCACAATGAACAAAATTTCTCTTTGTTGTGGACATATACTAGACACAATGTTACACAAAGTATTTAGCATAACAACCATCCAAGATGATTTATGATCCATTTGAGCATTATTCAAGCCAACAACCACTCTAATGACCAGCAGAGTTATCCACTTTGGTGTCTTCTGAGATTTGAACATCAGATCCACATGGAAACATAAGCATAAACCTTCGAAGTACTTTAGTCTCTTTTTTCATTGACCACCTTTAAACCATGAGTACATACATAGAAACACATGTAAATAAAATTTAAAGCTTAGAGTTGTTAAAAAATATAATTAAATCATGAGGCATTAGGTGAAAAAAACGAACCTGTATCTAAACAAATGATGGATAAAAATGGCCATCTGAAGCTTAGCGAACTCAGCTCCTACACATAGTCTAGAGCCAGCGCCAAAGGGAATGTAAGTCTTGGAGAGAATTGAGCCCAAGTCTTCTTTCTGATATATATATATATATTTTTTTTAGTTATTATATATGCTGAATATGTATTTTACAAACTTGTAAATAATAACTTAAAAGATGAAGTTCGAATATAAATCACCTTCCAACGCCATGGATTAAATTCTAAAGGGTCATCGTACTTTTCTGGATTGAAATGAACATTAGCATAGCCCATGAAGATCCAACCAGCTGGAATTGTATAATCACCAAACTTGAAATCATGATCAGTTATTCTAAGAACTGTTGGCGCTGTGCTTGTGATCCTAAGCGACTCACTTATCACCTGAAATAAAATACCATATTTGTTTGAACTCCTATACATATCAAGGTTCATAGACATGCATACAACTCAAACTAATTGACAATGAGTGTATTAATTTATTACATTAATGTGTGAACATGGGGTATATATACTCACCATTTGTGTGAAAGTCATTGATTTATAGTCTTCCCAAGTTAGGCCAGCCTCCTTATTAGTCTTCCCCTGAACAATCCCCTCATGCTCTCTCTTCAACTCTTGCATGACTTTAGGGTGGTCACTTATGAGCTTTACTATAGCCACAAGGATTCCTGGTGTTGTTTCGTTAGCAATCAAAAAGAAAGTATATATGTATTCGATCACATTCTCTATGCTCATAGTTTCTACTCCTCCTTCGGTTTCGCCAAATATGATCTTGAAAAACTCCCCAAATTCCTCTCCTGATGCTCTCTTCTTTAATACCGTCTCCTTTATTAACTTCATCATTTGCTTCCTTGCCTTCCAAAAAACACATTTTCGCTTAAATTCTTATACTACTAAATCATATGCACATACATATAGTGTTATAAAGGTTAAATGAACTGAAAATACATATATACCTTCATCATGCGATAGACACCAGTCCCAGGAACGTTCCAAGATAATTGAAACCACTCAGTTGGAAAATATCTCCAACATAGTGCAAGCTGTTTAGCCGCCTCTGGTTCCATTTCACCCATAACTTTCTTTGCAAGGCATTCAATTAAGATCTATAAAGTTTGATGCGATGATTTATTAACTAATCGAGTATGACACATTAGTGGAAAGAGTTGTGCAAAATGGATGACTTGTTTTTCACCTTGCTTGAAGTTTCTTTGACGTCAAGAAAGCCGTTCTTAGCTCCTTCCTCCATGTATGTACGAGCCAAGAGATCAACGTCTTCTACCATTCTCAGTTTTAAACCTTGAGGACCCAACAACTGGAATGTCAAGTTCCGGACATGTCTATGTGACTCCTTGCTCTGGATGAACAAGTTGTTTTTCCCAAATAGTCGTAATATGCTCTTCGTGATACCAGGGACATGATTTGCCTTCGCGATCTCCACATTCAGTTCAATATCCATCGAGATTATAGCTTTTCCTCCGAATAAGCTTGTCCGAAAAACTGGTCCATATCTATAGTTTCCCCCCGAAAAAAATAACAAGCAAGAAAAGATAACGTAACACTTCGGAGTAATGTAAAGATATATGTTTAAACATATACATACAAATGCATGCTGGAGAAATGAGAAAAAGAACCTGAGGATTCTCTCCTTGACGAAAGCTGGAAGTTGAAGAGCGTCATGGAGTTTCATGAACTCAAAAGTCTCTCCAATGATCGGAAAACCCATAGTCCCCGGAGGTAATTTTCCATTAGCTTTCGGATTTCTCCATTGATAGATAGAATGAAATAGTTTTACCACTATGAGTGAAACTATCACAGTCAATAATTCATAAACCTCTACCATGTTAACTTATTTCCTTCTTGTAATTATTTCGAAGATGAGGGTTTAGGGATGCATGAATTGACGAGTGATTATTCTCTTTATGCTAACTGTTGGATATATATGTATTCATATTTCTTCAAGTTGGGTAATTTTATTTTAAGTTGAGTAACTTTGAATGAGTTCGTTGAGAGATTGGTTGGTATGGTCAATAACTCACTCCTAAATCCTTTATCTTCTGTTTTCAACTATATATAAACACAAAATATTATTTAATCTCTAAGATTTGGTTGTTCTCATGCAATTAAATTGGTTTTCTTTTTCTTTTTCTTTTTTCTTTTATATGGACAAAGGTGATTTAAGAAACAATAGTTGTCATTGTGGTTTAATAGGTTGAAGTTCACCCGGTGAACACACTAATTGGTTTATTTTTTTTTTTATCAGTTGTAAAAGAATTTCAAATTTTGTTAACTCATCACCCACACTTATACACACAACTAATTTGAAAAAACCAAAATTTATTGTAGTTTTGTGTTATAATCGTACGTAAAGAGTTGATGCTATAAATGTGCATGTGGTTCGTGCAATAGGTTAATTAAATGTAAGTACATGTGCGATTGATAATGTTGCTTGTGTATCAAGTTTCAAGTGTTTATAATGTCTGCTGGACAGCCTGGGACGTATATAAAGTCCACGCATCGAGAACTGAAGAAGAGATTATATGGTGAAGTGTTGCACAATATCACATTTCTTTCTATACTATTATACAATGGTATTTTAGTTAACTGGACCATTTTTATAGTGAATTTAAAACTTTGTTTCTAATAAGCATGAATTCGATCAAGGGATACATAGAAGTTGGTAAAGAGTGCTCGTAACTGTTTGAGTTTGCAAATTCTCAATGGATCAGACCAATGTTAATTCTGTTTTGGCTGAAGACGAAGAGACAATAGGATGTTTCTTTGTCTTCTACGAAATCCAAGAATTCTCGCAAAATAAATAAAATAGACTTTTGAGTGAACGACGTGCATGTGCGAGGAAAAGCAACATATGTTTGCATTATGGTATGCATAAGACCAAAAGTCACAATCGGATTAAGTTTTGTCTTGAGATAGGACGTGAATAGTACATAGCTCAGCTTTATACTTGTGAGGAACAAGTTTATTAGACATCCATCAAGAACAAAATAATGCTAGGGAAAAAAATAATCACAGAAAAGGTCTCCAAGAGTACTAGAGATTAACTGAAGAGATAAATATATACTGTAATGAGTTCCCATGTTAAGCAAACGATAACCATAAACACATCAATTATAATTAATGGGTAGGAACTAATAATGATTTGGGACTCGGGAAATTCGTAAATTTATGAATGCAGAAACCAATTATGCATAAATAAGATTAAAGCCGATCCAAGCTCAAATCACAAGGTTAGATCAAAACCTTAACCTCTATGTCCAAAGGCTAAGAACCTAAATCCATCGTTTCAATTCAAGAATAAAAGATTAGCTAAAGATATTTTGCTGATCATTAAAGTTTCTTGTTGTAGCCAATTCAACTACTTCTTTTTGATGCGTTGATTTTTCTAAGATTATTATATAAAAAAAAAAAACTAGCCATTTATTCATAAATCAAACAAGCCATACGTGGAGTTCCTTTAGCATTATAGTACTCATACATAACAGAAGAACACAAACAAAAACTGATCGAAGAAAAGCATCATCAAATATTTTAAATTAAATTATTGGAATACAAAACATGGTGTCAAGATCTTCTCTAACTACACAACCTATTAGACTACACATTTAGTCGTGTTTAAATTTTAGACTAGTTGTTTTGTAGATAACAATAATGAATTTAGAAATACCATTAAGATATGGAATGGTATTGAGTAAGGAGTCATTTTTTTATTTTATTTTTCCCAATTTTCTATCTGATATATAAATCGTGCATGCTTATTAAGAAGCAATCATACTAACTTAGAGAAGTCCAATGTTTTAAATTCGAAGCGGATTGCGAACTGAACTACATTTCGGATCACCGGGCTAACTGTGCACTTTGCTAATCAAGTTCGACCACGGGGTTAATTGATTAAAATTTATAAATTTTTTTCATGCTAGCATAATTATAATAACCATTAACTGTTTTCGACAAAAAAAAAAAAAATAACCATTAATTGTTGTGAGAATTTTTCCCATGTTGTGAATATTAACAAAGCAATTAATCTAGTGGGACAAAATTTTTGATAATTTAAATTCTTGATTTTTGTTTAAATCAATCTATTTTCATGATTATAATATATATTCTTAGTTTTCTTTATGAAATGTAATGTTTTTATGTATTTTATGAATATGTATCGTGATCTAGTGTAATTTTACAATTATACATATATATATATATATATATATATATATATGTGTGTGTGTGTGTGTGTGTGTATATATACTAATAAATAATAATAATAAATATT